GGCATCCCCGCGTCCGCCGGGGCCCGGCCACGGCGCGGCGGCGACGCGACGCGCGACCCTCAGGGCGCGGGGACACCGGGGGCGTTACTACCTTGAGGGTTCCGCGCCGCTTGTTAAGGCTCCTCCCGGGCACTCAGGGATTTATGTCTTCGGGGCACGGGGGTGTCTCCTCTGCTCCCCCTCCTCTGCCCTCCCTCCCCTTCTCGGCTGTTGGGCTCCTTCTCTCCAGTCCCAGTGGCACAGAGTCGAGCCGCGTTATTTAATAATCCTCCTGCTCCGCCTGCCTGCGCCAGCAGAGCCGCTCTGCCTGAGCCACCGCTTCCCAGTCAGTCATGTTGTTGAGAGAGAGAGGGAGGCGGATTGGCAGTCGGTCGGCGACTATTTGTGGTGAGAGAGAGAAGAGCAGAGCAAGAGGAGGGCAGGGGAGGGACGTGGGGAGGCGCTTCCAAGTGTGTGACTGCGCGGAGTGTGACTGTGCGGGGACCCCGGAGCCACCTCCCCGGCAGGCCCCGCGCCCCGACTGTGAGGAGGGCGGCGGCAGCCAAGGCCTTTATAGGGATCGGGGTGGGGGGGTTGGGCTGGGGTGGGGGTGGCTTGGAGGGCGGCGCCCGGCCAACTGCGTCTGCCAGTTTACCACGCACGCATACTGACACATTAACGCGCGCACACCCGCTGGTGGACCGCTGCTGAGTTTTCATTTTAGGGGAAACCGTATCCGGCCGTGCTGACTTGGCTTCCCCTTCAGTCCTGCCTTGTGCGTAAGTCGAGTCCAAGTGCATTGGCAGGTCAAGAGAAGGGAAGGGGGGAGTCTGGAGCGCTGCAGAGGGACCGCGGGGATGCTGAAAATGCACTGCATCTTTTCTCGCCAAACCACAGATGTAATCTTTCTCTTCCACCTCTCAGGGAGGAAATTGTGAGGTTCTTTCTCCTCTTTTCTTTCTCACCCTACCTATTCATATCCTTACACGTCTCCTCTCTCCAAGGCAGCAAGGGAAGAAACCTGGCTTCTTTCGTCTAAGCAGATCACACCTCCCAGGAACCATTTAGGGCTTCAATTCTTCTGTAGGATAGTGGGAGCATTGGGACTGTGACCTGGAGTGGAACTTGTGTTCCCACACATAAGCTCCTTGACAACACGGATTTACAAACAGAACCAGCTACCATTTTGACATCATTTGACTGATGGCCCCCTGGAGAAAATTTGCTAGTTTAGAGTCTCCAAGACTTCTGATGCATGGTGGTGTTACTTACCTAATTTATTTTCCCTTGATCCCCTCTCCCATGGCCCTGCCTCATTTCCTTTCAGGTTTGCACGGGTCCTGAACTCTGTCCCATCCATCCCCCTTTTTTTATCGCCACTCCTATACATTTATATCTTTAGCAGGCAACACAGCAGATGGAATGCATTTAACTGTGTGTGTGGTGTGTGTGTGTGTGTCTGCTTGTGTGTGTTCTAAATAATCTGGCCATGATCTTACTTCTGAAATGTTAATATATTGGGTGTAAAAGCAAGGTGTACTTTTTGAATGAGTATTAGTGGTTGATGTGTATTTTAGCAAGAGGACAACCCTGCTTTGGGGGACAACTTTTTTTCATAAATGTGACAAAAGGAAGTTAACATTTAGGAGGCTAGGGAGGTGGTGGCAAGGTTGACAACTCAGTTGTTATATCTTCTCTCCTGAGTACTAGCTCATGACCATTGCTATGTCTTCAGATTTTTATCATATGGAGGCCCATTATATATTCTCCGTATATTTCCCCTTTTTGACATTGATTTTCTTTTTCCCTAATTCTTTCCTGTCTCATACAAAAAGTTTAGAGTCCATTAAAGTCCACTAACAGCGGCTTAAGCATATAATCAAGAAAGGGCAGCGAAGTTGGGACCAGTGGATATATATCATGTTAGCTCCTTTGATTAAGCATTGGAAAATGGATGTGTAACAAAGTGTATTGGGATTTAATGTGTGCATGCCCTGTGAAAAAGCTATTATCGTTTCTTCAGTTTTACAGATCAAGAAAGGTTTGGGGACAGTAGGTAGTTAACCTGAGGTCACATACAGACTAAGTGATGCAGCTGGAACTCAACCTCAGTCTGCCTTATTCTTACTGTCCGCACTGCCTCCCATTCACAGCTCCTGGCTTAGTCGAAAGTCTCAATGGTTTCTTTAGAGCTTTTGATAATTATGGAATAAGCTGATCTACAATCCTTTGGCATTTTCCTTCTACCTCCCTCCTTCTTTCCTTCCTTTTACAATTCAAAAGGGGTTTACAAAATGTTCACTTTTTAGGGTTAGGCAAGGATTTAAAAAGTCCTAACTACTTGGACTTGTAAATGAAAAAAGTTGGGAAGCTTTTCTCCAAAGTCCTCACTAAAGGAATCTTGCATTGCTGCAAAAGGAAGTTTTGTAGAAGAGATATTCCTGATCTGAACGTTTGCACTTAGCGAATAAATATGTGGTTTATTTAAGAGCTGTAAATAGACATTTTTAAAAAATTGTCCCCGGGCCGGCTCCGTGGCTTAGCGGTTAAGTGCGCGCGCTCTGATGCTGGCGGCCCGGGTTCGGATCCCGGGAGCGCCCCGAGGCACCACTTCTCCGTCCAACGCGAGGCCGAGTACCACGTACAGCAACTAGAAGGATGTGAACCTATGACATACAACTCTCTACTGGGGCTTTGGGGGGAAAAAACTGAATAAATAAAATCTTTAAAAAAAAAAAAAAAATTGTCCCCCTTTAAGGACAATGCTCAATCATATTGGGCAAGTTTTTGGTGCTTTTATTGTCCCAGTTTTCTATTTATTTAATTGTTACCAGTAATGATAATTTATTATTGTGATGATATGTGTACATGTGTACATTACATGTGCCTGATGGATGGTAATTAGTCTTTGGGTGGTGAACGTGATGTAGTCTACACAGAAATCAAAATATAGCGATGTACACCTGAAATTTATATAGTGTTATAAACCAATGTAACCTCAATAAAAAATAATTTAAAAGTTAAATAATAATGATAATTTAATAATGACTCTATATTGCATACTTCAAAATTATATATTAGACCGGATATTTCAAGGGCATTTTTGGTAACCACAACTGATTGTAATTTTCACACTTTCAATTGCATTCATAATTAGTGAGACCATGACAATCTGTCAGTTGCCTTTATTCATTAAGGTATTAAATAAAGCCAACATTTCTTGCTTAATTTTCTAACAATTTTGCTTGCCAAATAAAGTCTAAAATTCCTATACACTAGACCAGAAAGATATGAAAATATATAACATAAAACACACTTCTGAAAAGATGATTCATTTTAACTATTTTGTATTTCTTGTTGAAAAAAATCTGTACTAGAAATCCCATTTATAAATTATAATGAACATTTTAGAAGTTAAGAGAATGCATTATTCTCTTTTAAGATTGTTTAATGTTTCAAGTAGAATTTCCCACTTTGCTACACTTTCAATGATACAATTTTTGTTGTGATAGGAAAACAGAAAGTTAATGATTCTTTCCAATTTGTTCATTTTCATCTCTTATGCTTGCTGCTGTTTGGTTCCCAAGTGCCTTTAACTGGCAAGTTCAATGAAGATTTGGCATTGCACCATTTGACGAAAGCAGAAAAATTAGGTTGCCAATTACATATGTGCCCCTTATGTGCACTGAATTCCCACCGAAGTGATGAGCCAAATTAGAAATTCTTCAGTAGTGGTACCTAAGAAGTAAAATTAGTGCCTAGGGAAGGTAAAGGAGGTAATTTTTCTTTCCAACCCTATTACTGTAATGAAATTCATAAGATGTTTTAGAAAGTGAATTAACTTTAAAACATGTGCAAACAATGCTTGTAGATGAAGTGTCAGAAAATAAATTTAAAAGTTACATTTCTTTTTTTCTGTCCTAGCTATTTTATCATTCTTTGATTTACTTCATACCCTATCATGATTATGCAATCATTTATGAAGAAAGTTCGATGAAGGCCACTTCTCCGCTTTGCTTTAGCCTAGTAGTATAAAAGAAATGCAAAAAAGAAAAAAGATTAAAATTTGGTATTAACATTCTGGATTTTTTCTGTATTACTAAAAGCCAAATTATTCTTTTGTGACAACTGTTGTGACATGCAAGTGGCATTATGGGTACCTTAGAACAACAGGAGCCTTCAATGGAGATCAAGGCTGAAATCTGCACTCGGTTCGAGAACAAGGGCTGATGACAAAGTGTGGGGTAGGAGACAGGAGGATTGACTCAGCAGCAGTTCAGGGTCCAGAGTGCACAGGAAAAACTCTGTCTTAATATGGCATTAACTGGGGCAACCTGCCAGGTAGACAAGGCACAGTAGACAAGAATTTAGATAGAATTATGTTTCAGAAATCCGGTCGTGGTGACTATACTTGGTAAATTGCCTTTTTGCAGCAGAAATTCTGCCTCGTGGCAGAACAGCAGGATCTATTCATGCTCTTGCTCTGTGGAGGAAACTAAAAGGCCTAGCAGGTCAACCGACCAGGATTTCGGAGAGGAATCCTTGGCAGAAGCTAACCCCAGGTGACTGGGTCAAAATACTCACTGCGTAAGCTGTCTTTGATCTGAGAACTACACAGACACCAAGGATGCGTCCCATGGCGCAGACGTGGTAGCAAGACTATTAAGGTGAATGTGTGCCACTGTCCTTGTCACTGGGCTTCCAGGTCCCAAGTTTACAAAGTGATCTAATTTTAAGCCCATTTAATGGGCTGAGAGGATGGAAAGCAGAGGCTATGGAGAGGTATCGCTTACACAGCGACTGAGGATAATCCTTGAATTTCCAGGGGAGGCTATCCAACTGAGAAAAGTTGAGGTGGCGAAAGGAGGTGAGAACTGACAACAACATTGATGTTCTCTGAATTTACACCTATTTTTTAAGGGGAGTAAACTGTATTAAAAATAATATTTATCAACATAAAACCAAAGGAGTCTTTATAAGCAGATTTACCAGTAGAAACCTTTCCTTTTGTATAGTTTCCTTATCTTTGTTTCTGTTTCCAAATGTGATTAATGAGGTCTTTCGGAAAATTAACGACCTCAAGATTTCTTACCTTCTCATGAGGTAATTTTCATGTTTGAATATTTGTCTCTTCTGATGCAATATTAAAAAAATATTTAACTCAATTAATTCGTTCATTTGTTGATGTCTGTGTGTTGCATCTATCAAAGTGATTTTTTGTTGGGCTTTTGAGTTGTTCTATTATGATTGTCCCCAGGCATCTATGTGTTTGTAGGCATTTCATTAAAATAAATAGAACTTGACACATTTTTTAGAGAAATCATCAGTTAAATCATCTCTAAAAATAGTATACTGATAAAATCTGAAACTATAACAATAACTCTATGTATAAATCATATAAATAGATCTAATTATAACAATAGAAGAACTATAACAAAACTGTAATAATACTCTTGTACTATGTAGGTATATAGTAAAACTAGACGATGCTAATAAAATAATCTAAACCATATTAAACCAAT